TTACTATAGTATCATATATTAGTAATATATATTATAATAACATAGTATGTTATATTACTATATAGGACAGAATATACTGTATTTTCTATGATGTATAAACATTATATAATATATAACATATAAAAATATAAAATTACATGTTTTACATATATAATATAATTAAATAAATAGTATTTACTATTTTTTTCCTTTTTTAATTAAAGTATAGTCAGTTTACAATATTGTGTCAATTTCTGGTGTACAGCATAATGTTTCACGGATAAATACACACATATTCCTTTTTATATTCTTTTTCATTATAGGTTACTATAAGGTACTGAATATAATTCCCTGTGCTGTACAGTTTAAACTTGTTATTTATCTATTTTACACATAGTAGTATCTGCAGATCCCAAACTCCCAATTTATCCCTCCCCCTAGTTTCTCCCCAACTGGTAACCATAAGTTTGTTCTCAATGTCTGTGAGTCTGTTTCTGTTTTGTAAATAGGCGCATGTCTTTTTTTTAGATTCCACATATAAGTGATATCGTATGGTATTTTTCTTTCTCTTTCTGATTTACTTCACTTAGAATGACTATCTCTGGGTCCATCCATGTTACTGCAAATAGCACTATTTTATTCTTTTTATGGCTGAGTAGTACTCCATTGTATAAATATACCACAACTTCTTTATCCAGTCATCTGTTGATGGACATTTAGGCTGCTTCCATGTCTTGGCTATTGTACATAGTGCTGCTATGAACACTGGGGTGCATGTGTCTTTTCAAATTATAGCTTTGTCCAGATAAGTGCCCAGGAGTGGGATTGTTGGATCATATGCTGTCTATTTTTAGTTTTTTAAGGAAATTCCATACTGTCCTCCTTGGTGACTGCACCAATTTACATTCCCACCAACAGTGTAGGAGGGTTCCCTTTTCTCCACACCCTCTCTAGCATTTATCATTTGTGGGCTTTTTAATGATGGCCATTGTGACTGGTGTGAGGTGCTACTTCATTGTATTCTTGATTTGCATTTCTCTAATAATTAGCAATATTGAGCATCTTTTCATGTGCCTGTTGGCCATCTGGGTGTCTTCTTTGGAGAAATGTCTGTTTAGGTCTTCTGCCCATTTTTTGATTGGGTTGCTTTTTTTTTTATATTAAGCTGTATGAGCTGTTTGCATATTTTGCAAATCTTTTCTCCCATTCTGTAGGTTGTCTTTTCATTTTGTTGATGGTATCCTTAGCTGTGTAAAAGCTTTCAAGTTTAATTAGGTCCCATTTGTTTATTTTTGCTTTTATTTCCATTACTGTAGGAGCTGGTTCAAAAAAAAATAGTGCTGTGATTTATGTAGAATGTTCTGCATATTACATAAAATTTACATATTTTATATATACTGTTATAATTTATAGTATAAAATAAATTTAATATCAAATTCACAGAGGCAGAAAGTAAATGTGGTTGCCAGGGGCTGGAGAAAGGGGGAGTGGGAGTTATTGTTTAATGGGTAGAGTTGCAGTTCGACAAGGTGAACAGAGTTCCAGAGACGGGTGGGTGGTGGTGACAGCTGCACAATAATGTGAGTGGACTTAACGCCACTGAACTGTACACTTAAGGACGGTCAAGAGAGATGGTAAATCTTATGTCTACTGTACTACAATTTTTTAAAAAAATTTAAATTAAAAAACCCACACTGATATCAAAATCACAGTTAATGTGAGTTTGAGAAATGCCTTGCTCGGTTTGTATTTCTAAAACAAAGAGTGCCACATGAGATACTGTGGCTTAGAAAAGCATTTAGCATACAAGTTTTAAAATGAGCAAGTAAATTTTCAAAAATGTGACCAGCACTCCTTTGGTTGCCTCTGTTTTTCTTTAAAGCTACATGTTTACCCAGGATCACCTGAGAAACATTATGGGGCAGAGTAAGAGGCTGAGACTGGAAAACCTGCTGATTTGCTGCCTTGGCCTGGGAGAGTGCTTTGAGAGAAATAGCTGTGGACCATGGTGCACCTTCAGGAGAACTCTGAGGGAGGGGTGTCGTGCTCTCTTAAAACTCTGCAGTCCTGCTCGGTGGCAGTGTGGTATAGGGCAGGCACATGAGAGGCACAGCCTGTGGGCTGGACTGTTTGGGACCCTGTCTTAACTACAACCTGCAGCAGGAGCAACATCAGTGGCTGCAACTTCATTTGAACCTCAAGCTGGCCAAGAGCATATTACTTCTCCATTTCAATTCTCTTTCATTTTCCTTGAGACCAGCATTTGATAAGCTAGGTGGAATATTTTTTGATGAGTATAAGGGACATTGAAGCACTTCAAAGTTCCTAAAATCTGATAGCATTGGCTTTTTGTCTAATTTAACTTAAAAGTTGTGACAAGATGAAAGTCTTTATATGTTTAATAAATTCCTTGTGTTTCTTTATTCCCTGCATTTTTTAGCAAAAATAGGAGTGAATTTCCTGAGGCAACTGTGCAAAAGTCTGATGCTCATCTCTTTTCCTGCTTCAGGATTGCAGGTCCTAGTGTAAAGAAACAGCCCAAGACTGGCAGAGTGGCAGAGCTGCAAAATGGGGAAGTCTGGTCAAAACTGGGTACCAGGAGAAAAAGTAGAAAATGAAGGCAGGTGGGCTGGTTTTGCCCTTCACCTGCCAGTGAAGCTTTACTGCTTCCTGGAGAAGCCTCCTGACGGTGAGGTACTTGTAAACCCAGCTGACAGCATATGCGGATAACCACCTCCCCAGTGGTACCCGTACTGCTAGTCTGTGGAGCAAACTCTGGTAGCAAGAGCTTAGAAGATACATATATCCATTAATGATGAACACTTCAGTTTCCAGTGTTTGGTTCATATGAGGTAAAGTATCAAATCAATGGAGTGATAAGAATCCTTTACACAGTGTGAAAATAATACAAATATTTATCAAGTGTATACTAAGCATGCATATGGGCACAAAGATAATTTTAAAAACTTCACTGGTCAACATCAGTAGGAATCAATATTTTCAAGACTGCATGCGTACAGCCAAAGGGCATTCCACAGTGACAGGAGGCACATCAGGGGTTTCCAGGGAACACAGGAAAAGGCAAAGAGGGAGGAAACTTCTAGGGGTGGTGGATGTTCATTATCTTAATTGTGCTGATATTATCACGGATATTTTATATATATATAACATCTGTTAAGACTCACCAAATTATACACTTTAAATACATGCAGTCTATTGTTTGTCAATTATACTTCAATGAAGCAATTTTTTTAAATATGGGGGAAAAAGTCACGAAGTGTATTCCAAAAAGGCTGTACTAGTTTACATCCCACCAGCAGCATATGCAAGCTCCTGCTTCATTAGTTTTGTCAGCACTATAATTCTTAAAGGAAAAAACAAAAACACAATGCTAATTTAGAGAGGCAATCTCTCTCATGTGCTTGAATGTGCATGTCTCTTTGATTACAAGACTGAAATTTGTTCATGTTGATCAGCTCTTTGCTCTTTTCTCTTTTTAACGTGTGTTTCTTATCAGTTTATAGCAGCTCTTAATTTAGATATGTGTTGCAAATATATCATCGATTTCTTTCCCTAGGCTAGATGTTTATATTCGGGTATACTTGATGTAATTATAATGTAAATAGACATTTTAAAGTTCAAGAATCGGAAAAAAAACCTTAACAATGCTCAAAACACAAACACAAAAAGCTCAGACAGAATTAGACATAAAAAAAATCAGCATCTTTTATAATCACTTAATTTCTTTCACAAGGTGGCTGCCAGTAGCACAAGGCTACATCACAAGCAAGCCATATACGAAAACGTATCAACCTTACACCTTTCACGTTCACTCTTTTGGTAAAATGGTCAATTTCAAACATCTTTTTTAAAATGAAGATTGTATTAAGATATAAAATATTTTATGACTTAAGCAAGAGTTGGCAGAATTTGGATTTATAAACTCCCACTTCTTGCTTATTGATCCTCTCTGAGTGAGAAATGAGTCCATGAAATCGAACTGGGGTTGAGTGTTTTTTGTTTTCAGGGTCAAGTGAATAAACACCAGAAAAAGAGAATATTTACATATTCTCCTGAAGTGAAGAGTAAATCTTTATATTAATAATATTATTACTTAAACTGTTTTTCTTCACTCTGTACCTTGAGTCCATAAGTTTTTAGACTACACAGCAGTGAAGAATGCTAATACTAATAAAACCAGTAAAAGATGAATGCCTTTTTATCTGCTACACCAATTGGTACAAATTTAAGAAAACTACTTCCCCAAAAGGTAGTTAGAAGTATTTGTGAATTTGTCCAGTCCTTTAAAAATGTCATAATTAGCCATGAGAAGAAACAGAAACACATTTAACATTTAAAGAATGAATTTCAGTTTCTTTAATAACAGAATATTTTCAACTCTTATTCTGAAGCTTGTATCATTTGGTCAAGTTAGATGGCAAAATTAGATGATGTCTAATCTGGAACAAAAGTCCAGATTTCCTGAGACCCATGCTGAAGAGCAGTAGAGGATGAAATGTGGAAATCAATGATGTGGCTGAGACTCCAGAAAAATCAAATTCTTAGAAGCTTTACTTCCTCATCCATAAAATGAGGGACGTGGATTAAATGATTGGTGTATTTCCTTTCAGCTCTAACCTTTTCTAAATGCAGGCAGGATAAGTTGATAAAACTTGTGACAGATGTAGTCATATTTCTGGAGATTTTTTTTATTGCTGACCTGGGGTTTCTTAACTACTTTTCTTGCAAGTCCATGTCAGCTCAGGTTCAAACTCTAGCCCTGACCTATCTATGGAGCCTTGGCAAATAATTTATCCTCTTATTAAAGATAAGGAAATAAGGGCCCCAAGAGAATCATAATAGCAGCTACACCTCAAAAAGCTGTGACAATGAAAAGAGGGAATGCATCTGAATACTTGGCGGTGCCTGGCACAGAGTAGATGCCCAGTAAACGGCATGCCTGCATATTTGAGGTATCATAGTCCATCCGGGCTGGTATTAACAGAATACCATACATTGTGTGGCTTAAAAACAACAGAAATTTATTTCTCACAACTAATTGTGAGAGAGGCCCGGGTCCAAGAACAAGGCTCTTGGAGGATTTGGTGCTTGGTAAGGACCCCTTTCCTGGTTCAAAAATGGTCATCTTCCAAGAGACAAGGGAGCTCTCTGGGGCCTTTTTCATAAGGGCACGAATCCAATTCATGAGGACTCCACCCTCATGACCTAGTCACCTCCCAAATACCACTGCACTGGGGGTTAGTTTTCAATATATGAATTCAGGGACAGGGATGGGGAGAGGGAGGTATAAACATTCAGTCTTTTCCATGGGAGTAAATACCAACTCACATGACACTCAAGGTTTCACAAGTGAAACATGCTGTATCCCCAGCGGGTTAATACCAGGTAGACAGACATACCACAAACTTGAACAAATATTTCCATAGAAGAGTGGACAACATAACTGAAAATAGCCCTCGGGTCTGACTCATAAAACAGTTCAGCTATATATTTACTCTAAAAAGACTTCATGAAAAGGTGGGAGGGGAAAGGGGAAGAAAGAGAAAGGAAGGACTTCAACAACGGCCAGGACTGTGGTGTGAGCACCCCGCAGCCAACTGATCGCACTAGATTCGGGTTCCCCGCCATCTCTGTATTATCTCGTTTCTCTTAGTACAGCCCACAAACCACTTCCACCTAGAATGCTTGTTACAACTGCAGGTGCCCAACTTTCACCCATTTTTGACACGCTATCTCATTAATTCTTATACCTTCTACAATTTGAGAACCTACTCCAATTGCTTTGTGGCCAGTGTTTGAAAATGTGGCCAATGCCCGAGTCCTTGAACAGCTTATAGCCAGAGTATAAATGTGCAGATACCAAACCTAAGGACTGCCCACATCAACTTATCTGCAGCCCATCACAACTAAGAAACCAGTTCTTAATGCATCAAAGCTAATGAGAAAAAGTAAAACCTACAGCTCATGAATTTGTTGAGTATCTGGGACACTGAAAGGAATACATATGATTGAAAAATGACACTTTTGGAATTTTCTCAGCATATTCTAAAATGCCAGTAACAACATTTATTTCATTCCTAAAATTAACTTTAACTGTGAACTGAAATAACACTTTTTGTTATAGTGAGCAGTCAGAAAAATTCCATCAACAACTGAATTATAGTCTTTCTTAAAAGTTATTTTTACACATTTATGTCTCCTAACATTAAAAGGTTGCTTTTGACTTTAGCAGGTGCTTTGCAGATTTACATCAGCAGTAGAAAGTGCTTCCGTTGAATAGATTTTAGTCTTCAAAAATGTGGCTGCATCCTTCATCTCTAGTTTTTCCACCTCCCAGTTATTGACCTTACCAAAGAAAGAGGAAAATAATCAGTTTGCAAGCAGATGATGACATGTAAGAGCTAGTTTCGAGATGCAAGTATATGAAAGTGACATCCAGCCAACTGCTTATAATGACACACATTTTAAAAGCTTAGTAAGACTGTGCTAGGACTGAAGAAAGCTCTCATTGTGGGAATTATAAAAACATTTAAGGTCCATCCTCTAAAGAGTGCAAAAATTCCTTTCTTTGGATACCCTACCTTAGACTATACATAATAGCCAATATGGGGGGAAAGGGGTTATAGAATAGCTCATTAAGAGACATGGGCCATCTTAACCTCCGTAATCCAGGCGTGATTCATTTTTGGATACTGAAGTACCATAATCAAAATTCGATCTACATTTCACATTATATGCAGGACCAAATGAGTTGCATTTAGATCAGTCCCAAAATTAACGTAAATATAAATATATCAGTAAGGTTCTTGCTCCACACAGTGACATCTGGAGAGGCTATTCAAGAAAAGCTGTGATGCTCAGAATCAAACGAAGCATAGAAGGGAAGAGGAAGAACCATTCTCTTACAACCGTCCAGCTTTTTCTGGTGACAGACATCCTACAACAGCCTCACACTGGCCCATGAAAACAAGGCTTTAATTAACATCTTTTCTTCTCTTGTTCAAGATGATCTAGATATTGGATAGGTTTTGACTGTCTTAAATTAAATAAGAAAACATATATTTACATTTTTCCTCTTGACAGAAAGGATTAGAGTTGACCAAATGCAGCATTTATGAAGCCCCTAGTAAATGAGAATAATCTGCTGGGTAGGAGCCAAATCACGTACCAGGAGTGTTCTTTTTCAAAGAAAACAAAAACTAAAACACTTATTCCAATACTGCTGCAATCCTTTTAGTCCTGGTGACCAACTTCAACCACAACACTCCTGGCAGAATGGACATCAGTAACTGAAGACTATTTCATTTGCATTTTTTTCTTACCAAGATCACATGAAAACCCATTACTTTCAAATGCCGCATTTTCATAGCAAGGAATCCTCTGGGGTGGGTTGAACCCAAACAGTAAGTAGATTTAGGAACACATAGTACAGCTACTCTGAAAACAAAAATACAAAATATGAGACTAGTTACTAACGAGATGACCACTTACTATCTTGCTGCATTCCTGATCTTCGGAAATTTCCAAGTTGAGCTCTCCACTGACCACACTCCTCACCGTTCCCTACTGTGTTACCCTTCACTTCCTTATCACTTGGCCTGTATAGATACCCCAGCACACAGAGGCTACTTTAGGAACCAGAAGCTTATAATAATGCTTTCTACGAACAGCTATCCCTTAACCATCTTTAAGGACGGCTACGTTATTGATGAGGAAAATTTTCAGAGCTGAAAGCACCCATTTTAAGGCCTTCCTGTGCAGTGCTAACCGCTCATCTAAATATGATTCCTGCTACCAGAAGCACTGCTGTAGACGACACCACACAGTAAATGCTCTTCTTAGACACACTGTCTCCCAGAGAGAGAGGCATTTAAAAGCCAGAATGGGGAGACCAAATACAGAGAAGAAAACTAAGACAGGCAAGACTGTTGAAAAGATAAAATCTAGATGTGTAACAAAAATGTGGAAGGTATAATTTGTTTTTTCGTTGCTCTTGGTCTTCTGGAAAGATTAAGTTCACTGGGGGAAAAACAGACATTTGTATCCTTCCTGCCTTCTGTTACACTCTGGCTCTTATCTGAGATAAAGAGAAACTTTGTATCTTTAAAGGAAAGCTCTGATTCCTCATTTCTTCTTTGTACTTTAGGCTGAGAGTTCCTATATTATATTATTATGCCAGAACAGGTGAATACTTGAAAAGGAAAAAATGATCTTTAAACGAGATCAGAGAGAAATCCTTTTTTTGAGAGGAGAAGGGTAATATGCGTAGGGAAGAGAGTAGTTTAAAAAGAGGGCCAAGGAACAAGCTAGATGGATCCAGAAAGGAGCAGGAGTTAGAACCATATGTGAATGGAGAGGGATGGGCAGGTAAGAGTCTGAATCCCGACAGTTCTTTTTTCCATACCTCTCTCTACCATATTTATGTGCATGTCCTACAAAGCAGTAGGGGATGTAAGTCACTGGGGGCCAGGATCCATGGCTGACTCGTCTTTCTGTGCTGCACAGGCCCGAGCAGAGCCTTTCCACAGAGACTGACTGAACACAGGCTGTGTGCAACATGACCT